CACACACACACACACACACACACACACACTCACCTATTGCCATGAAGATTTCATTCACATTCATCGCTGTCTTTGCTGACGTCTCCATGAACAGCAAGCTGTTGTCATCTGCATATGTTTGTGCATCCTAGAAACAATCACATTAGAGTGATAAAGGCATCCTGCCAGGAGGAGGCCCCACACGCTCCACTTGCTGGCATACTAATGACTGAAGGCAGCCTCTGCCCAGCCCAAACTGGGCCCTTCCAGCCCAGCACAGCCCTGCCTGGCCAGGACAACCGGGGACACCACTGACAGCAGCACAGGACTGAAGTGCCAGCAGAAGAGCCAGGATACAGCAGCACAGGTTGGTTGTGAGCTGCATGTGGACTCTATGACTCAAGCAACTTGACGCCTTGTACTTTGGCTGGCTGGGAGTTGCACACACCTCACAATGTGCTGCAAGCAGCTCTGGGTGCAGGTCCTTGAGATAAGAGCTTCTACTAAGAAATCTGCCTCAGACAACTTGAGGTGAGTCGTGAAGACTAGAAAACAAGCTTCAGGTGGCTTATCTAAAAGATGCCATTCCATACACCGATGAAGACGGCCCCTGATAAGCAAGGCAGCAATAGTTGATAATACAAATTTGTTCTCTATGGGCCTTCATAACATAACTGTTACCAACAAGAGCTACAGGTATTGTGACAAACCTACACGAGGAAGGCAGGCAAGGGGCACCCTGGGGTCCTCAGCAGCATCGATCTCAACTTCCACACTTTCTCCTCAAAGTATTTTTGACATAGACACCTCCTAGAGCTGACCAAAGAGCTGCTTTCCTGACTGCTCAGGTAGCAGCCAAACCAGATTCCCACTTACCTGGAAGTCCACAGCCCTCTTGGTAGCAAGGTCTGCCTTGTTTCCTGCTAGTGCAATTACAATATTGGGGCTAGCCTGCCTCTGCAACTCTTTCACCCAGTTCTTGGCTCGTACAAATGTGTCCTGGAAGTAAACAGGAGGCAGTCAGGAAAGGCAGCCTCTTATTAACGCACAACGAAGATATGATTAGAACAAGTCTTTCCTGTAAGAAGCATTCTGCCTCTACAGCACTTTGTAGCAGCATTCTTTATCAGCTTACACAGCCTTGCTCAGAAACAAGGAAGTGGCCACGAGTTTGAGAAAGTCTGACCAAGGCACCTGTAGGCCAGCATCTGCAGAAGCCCTAAACCCAAAACTCTCCCAGGGAACGGAGAAGCATCAGATACAGAGGCAGATGCCCCCGGGGGCCCCGGCGCAGTACTCACTGTGTTGGTGATGTCGTAGACAACGATGGCGGCCTGGGCACCTCGGTAGTACATGGGGGCCAGGCTGTGATACCGCTCCTGCCCCGCCGTGTCCCATATCTCAAACTTCACCGTTGTGTCATCCAGACAGACCGTCTGCGTTAGGAAGGCAGCTGAAAGAGAACGGGTGTTTGCCTCATCTCCAGCTGGAGAGCTCCTGCAGCAAGAGCCAGCAGCTCAGAGCAGATCTGCTTTTGCACAAGAGCTGGCAGAAGCCCCAGCCAGGCCAGCACACCGCCGCCTGCCGTGCGAGTCGCAGCTCTGCCGCGCCACAAGCTGCTTTCATGCAGGAACCAGAGAGCAACACAGAGGTGGCTCCGAGCAGCCAGCAGGCAGCCTGCCATTCAGGGCTGCTCCCTTTCCCAGGGGCCACCACCCCGATCACGCAGCACAGCTGCAGCACCCCCGGGATTTGCTTCCAGGAGCGCCGCGCTGCGCTCAGCCCAGTTCCGCTGCGCTCCTTGGTTTAGAACTGGTGCTTTTCCCGTTCCAGTGAGCACAACGCCACCTTCATTTCAGTCCCAACACAACCAGGCTTCTACACGGTCTGAGGTAGAACAGCAGATCACTCACGCAGCCCCTGTGGCAAAGCACTGAGCCCTGCCTGCCTGCAAGCTGTCCCGCTCCCCACAAGGGTCACCACAGGGACAGACGCAGCCCCTCGGCGCGCATCTCCTCACATTACTGCCCAGAAGGCTGGGTGCTGACTGACCTTTGATTGGTGACACCACACCGACTATTTTAAGCTGAAGATCTGCTAGGCCTGAAGGAGTTGTGGAAACGGCTTACTTGATCAGGCTACAAACAAGACTGATATCCCAGGTCCCATTCAGAAAACATAATTAAGGGCTATAAACTCAGTTCTAATTAGAAGCAGGAATTCAAATACTGGAAGATGCCTGAGAGGCAGAGCACTCGTGGTTGCCATAGCACTGCTCTCTGTGCACTGATCTTCACCCAAACAAATCGCAGACCGAGAGTTAAAGCATTACTGCCTATTTATAGCCATTAATGCTGCTGATAGCTCGGGCTGCAAGGCCAGCACCTTTTAACCACCAGCACCCGGCGTCGGCGCTCACCTCCAATCGTGCTCTCCTGGTACTCGTGGAACTGCCCCTTCACGAAGCGCAGAACGAGGCTGGATTTCCCCACCGCCGACTCCCCCAGGAGGACGAGTTTGAACTGGCAGATTTTGTTCCCGGCCGCCGGTCCATTCGGTCGGGCGGCTCCACCTCGACCTGCCATTGTGGCCTAAGTGCAGGAGTGCCAAGAGATGAGGATGCTGGAGATTCTGCACCGGATCCACCTGGAGGCAGGTTGCAACTGGAAGAGGAGGTCAGAGTTAGTGACACACTCCCGGAGCAGCCCTACCAGTTCCAGAGGTGGTTTTGACCCTCAGCCTCCATCAGCACAGGCAGCTGCTGCTCCTCCTCACTATGGAAGGCTACTGGCTGCACGTACCGCCGCGCGTCAGGCAGCTTCTATCAGCCAGCAGCTCCCACAGCACCTGAGGTAGCCTGAGCCTCCTCAGAGCAGGGATGCAGGAAGAGGAGCTCCCCCCCACAGGCCCTCCAGCACCTCCACTGTGCCGTGCTGCACACCTTGCTGGGGCAAGGCAGGCAGAACAGCCAGCACGCCATCAGGTTGTCAGAGCTTTGCCCATTAGAACATTGCTCAGTGATGGGAGGCAACCGAAGCTGACCTGAACTCCTTCCTCCTCTGCTGAGTTCAACCCGCGGCGGCTTCAGACTGCCAATGAAATGGAGGTGTCTGCAGGCCCCATGCAAGCCATTACAGAGCACTGACACTCCTCCAGATCACAAGAGCAAGTTGTTATGCTCAGATCTGTGAAGGCCCGCTCACAAAGCTGTTAAACGCTGCATCTTCAAGCAGTCCTCAAGGCCACCTCAGACCTCCTGCAGCAGCACGGAGGAGCTGAGAGCAGCCGGCCCAAAAGCAGCGGCCCCTGCAGCACCGCAGGTAATTATCGCTGAGCAGAAGTCTAGACGACTTATCTGAACACAGGGGCAGCACCTACACACAGAGCAGCACCAGACCTCCGGAGTTGGGCAAAGCACAGCACAGAGGTGAGACGAGCTGTTCTACATCCGCAGATAACCTCGAGTGAAGCTCAGTGCCTCCCAAGCCGTTAAGCACAGTGAACTGCATTCCTGTTCTCAGCTGCAAGCAGATAACGTTCCAAGCACACAGTTCCACAGATCTCAGCAGATTTCCTGTATTCAACATGACTCCCACTTCCTGTCAGTGACAAATGCTACAACTCATCGCATCTGCTCCGTATCACCACTTTCCCTTCAACTCTCACAGCCCAAGTTTCTTGACAGACAAGCAGCAAACAAAGACCTGATAGGCAGTTCCCCCACAGCACATCCTGAGCTCCAAGGAAACACCTTTTTGCTCAGGGTGAACCCAGCATGTACCCAGCACTCACATGAGCAGGAGCCCTGGAATGGTGTCCCATGAGCCACGCTTCAGAGCAAAAGCTCCAGAGAACACAGTGATCCATGGAGACATTCAGCATGAAATCATTTGACCAGCAGGAGAGGCAGTCAGAAACCTACTGCCACAGCAGCACAGCAGCACCAAGCACTGAAGCAGGCAGGTGGGAAAGAGGCCTTGAGGAGCCAGGCACGAGCAGCGAGACGCACGAGAAGCCCAAGTTGTGGAGCAGCCATCGACTGCAGCGTGTGACCAGAGCCTGCCTCCCATCCCAGGAAGGACAAGCACTGCTTTGACAGGACGAGAAAGCTTGAGAGGAAGCACACAGCAGCAGCTGGTTGTGCTGGACGGTGAGGAAGCAGCACTCTGCAGCTCTGGCCAGGAGCCGCTCGGTTATCACTGGGGCTCAAGGGGCGCAATGGAAGCCCCACATCTGCACCAACCTGAGGAAGTTTCTGCCTGTGGCGGTTCCTCCTCTAACTCAAGACTGCAAAGCAGCAGCTTTTGCTTGCTTAACCTTGTATTCATTTACCAGGGCGGTCTATCAGCACACTGGTAAGCTCTGTCACCACCTCAGACTAACATGCTGCACGTTAACAGCCACGTGAATCATGCCTCAATTGAGCTATGACCTCCTGAAACACGATAGGGGTGATTCCCAGAGCAAGGAGATGAGCCTGTTGACATCCTCACGTTTTGTGACCTATATTTCAGAGACTTCTTTTACCATGAATTCAGTAGAACTGAGCAAGCAGGTCTATGTGCAGCTGGCAGAAGAATCAAGTTACCAGAGGACTGCTTCTGCTCTCCACTGTGTTACAAACGATATCATGGCAGATTCGTTGGCTTACGACCAAAATACTCAAGACAAATATTTCACCGGGGCTTTTATCTTGTTAAATAGCTGACGGCGTTACATGAATTCCTTGGCCAAGCAGCCCTGAAGGCACCGAGTGGTTTTGCTTCACCTACCACCGAATGGCAGCCAGCCGCCAGCAGGGAGCCTGCGCTGCCCTGCTCCCACCGAGAGCTGCTGCCTGCATGGGCTCACACAGCACGCCGTGCCCGGCCCCGTCAGTGCAACGCGTGCTGAGTTCTCTCCACACACACTGCTGCCTTAGGAGCAGCTCTGCACAAGCGCCAGCCCCACGTTGGATCTGCTCTAACATCCCAGCTGCAAGGCGCCGTGCCTTCCCCCCACAAGCAGCGGTCTCTGGTCAGTGAGGCTGAGATCTGGAGCAGCAGCTGTTAGGGAAGGAGTCACTGCCGTTGTCAGCTGCCACGCCACAGCCTTAGAACACCGATCTACAGACCTACATCAACCTCTGCCATGTGCTCCTAAGGTTGTGCCACTATTTTAAGTCACAACTTCTCCGCAGAGCCTCCTGCCCAAAGACCTGAGCACATTCATTTCAATTTAGAGGCAATCAAATCTCCAGCAGGAAAAAGTTAACATTCTTGTTGGCTGTCTACAGTCCCGAGCAAACGCAGCAAATGTAAAACCAGCTCTTTTACATGCTTCTAATGCATGTATCTGCCTCCCGATATCTGCAGAACGAAAACTAAACAAACTCCAGCATCTGATATTTCAAGGCACCAGCCCAGTTTCTGCTCAATCCACTGCAGGTGCTGCACAGCTGGGCATCATCCCACCAGGACAGCATCCCACCAGGACAGCATCCCACCAGGACAGCATCCCACCAGGACAGCATCCCACCAGGACAGCATCCCACCAGGACAGCATCCCACCAGGACAGCATCACAGCTGGAAGACCCAGAGCCAAGGAAGCAGCAGAGCCCTTCCCACCGCCCCACGATGACAGCTGAATCCTGGCCATCGTACTCAGCAGCAGCCCTTTAACAGAGATGACCGACCTCCCGACCCGATGAACAAAGCTCTCCGAGCAAAATAAACCCTGCACAAGTTTAGAGGCAGGTGAAGCTCCTGCTGCTTCCCAGGGCAGTGCAACGAGGCCCGCAGAGGCGCTGCTCAGGCTGAGTGCAGCAGCCCAGCTGAGGGCTGGCCTGGGCCACAGGGCTCAAAGCTCAGCCCAAGGCAGAACACTGCACCATGAAAACTCTGCTGAGGCTGAGATTAAGCCTCGTCTGCCAGGCAGCACTTGAACAGGGCAAGTTGCTCCGAGCCTCTCAGGAAAGGAAGCCAGAACAGCCGAGCACCCAACAGAGCTCTCTGGAAGATGAGGCAAGGACTGCAGCTCTACAGCCAAAGGGAGCTGCAGAGCCAAACTCTAACTCTGAAGCAGTCAGCTATAAAACTGCTTCTCTGGCTTTTTATTTCCTTTTTCTTAGTAGGACTCTATTGAGAACTGTCCTTTTTCTTCATCCAAGTGACTCAGCCTACATGCACAGCAGAAACCGGCTACCTCAGCTCTGGGACCCGAGCAACATCTCCAGGATCTCACTCCAACTTTTGCAAGCTCCAGGCCATCCTCAGCCACACGCACTTCATTCATTTCCTGAGCAGAACACAGAGAACATCCACAGAGAACCCCCCTCCAAAGATGTTCAGCAATTGTCCTTTACCACAAGTTCCTGAAAGCAGCTGATAAGATGCAAAGCTATTACACTGGGATACGGCTTTGAATGCTCAGGCAGCTGAACGAGCAGCAGCACCGGGAGCTGTTACCATGTTGGCCACACTGGCACTACAACGAAGCTCCATGCCTAATCCAGCAGGGGTTTTAGTTCTGCAGAACAGCATGACTAATTGCTTTCAAAACTGCAGCTAGCGTGCTATTAGATCACCATGGGCTGAAGAGAGAAACGTGCAATTAGGGCAGGCTGAGGTTCCGAGCTCCTGCCCTTCCTTGTGCTTCAGGAAAGCATTTGAGCCTGCAGGTGACCAGAGCCACCACATCCCCACCTGCTGACACCACAGCAAGCGAGCTCGTTCCAGAGCAGCCTGATGGAGACCCAAGCATGTGAGCTTCCAGTGCAGCTTCAGTCAAGCCATGGAAACGGCACACTTGTAAGGACTGCTTTGAAAGCAGCAGGATGAGAGGCGGCAGCTTCCGAGCAAGTGTTAGCAAGACATAAATTGCAGCACACAACTCCTGCAGATGAGTTCTGCATCACCTTCATTTTATACAGGCTTCTCACCGGCTGTACGGAACAAAGCCCCGCATCCCAGGTACCAAAATCCCCCGCTCCCATGTCAGCCTTGGAGGTCTTGCCTGCGTTCAGTTATTCTTGGCACTGCAAGAACTTCGCCCAGTGTCCAGAAGCTGATGCACTGCCAGGTTAACAATACTCAAGTTTACTGCGAGGACCAACTCAAAGCTGAACTAAGTTGTAATCCTGCAGGCAAGGCTCCCATACCTCCTATTTCTCACTCTGCACGCTTTCAAAAGGCTCGACTTCATTCTGCCCACAAGTCCAGCAACACACACCCATAGACAGCACCAGACAGCAGAGCAGAAAACAGCCATCTTCACCACCAGAGTCAGTGACCTTCATAATATCTTTCCCAGACTGCACAAAGATCTCCTGCCTCCAGTGGCTCCTTTTTTGGAGCGCTACCATATCAAAGCAAACACGAAAAGCAGTGTTTTCTTATCTGTTTATGTAGGACAACTCCAACAGCTCGTTCCCGTGCCCCAGGGGAAGTCAGCAAGCACATCAGGATTTAGACAGAGCACTATTATTCCCCATAACGTCTCTTCCAGGAAGATTTGCTGTTTCTGGCTCACAGATGGAAGGTTTTCATGGTTGCTGACAATTTCACAGAACTTGCATAAGAGGACTTCAAACTTCACATCCCAGGGGAAGAAAAACGCTGACTCTGCCATCCCTACATTCTGCCCTCTTCTCAGCACGCTGACCAAAATACTTCAGGCTACACCCACTTCATCAGAAGCGCTCCCATTTCACTTCCTGTGTCTGGAAGGACTTGGCACCATTCCCCCTCCCTTCCCGAGGAGATGCGTGGCCATCCAGCACCTCACAGCAGCACTGGGCTGATGAGCAGCGGGGCCGGAGCAGCACAGAGCTGCCCCCCCTTCCCATGCAGGGCTTTGCTGCAGTGACAACAATTTCACTTCTCATCGCTGCTCCTCCACACCTCGAGGTTTGGCCAAGCACGCAGTACAGGCTGTTACTCAGCTTTGTTGCAGTCGGTGCCCAATCCATTACTGGCTTCACTGTTATAGCAGTGACCCAAATCCAACTCTGTCCGTAGTAAAACCAGGTAAGTGTTTGACTTGACTACATCCCACATCCACCTGTTGAGCTAGCTGCCCCCTGTACTGCTCTCTAACTGAAACCCCTCCTCAGAACTTCCATTTTATCTTGTTCCCTCACCTGATGGGGTATTAAAGCCTTACTTAAACAGCCCTAGTGCCAGGCAGTGCAGGTCCCTTATCTCAAAATGGACGTAGTTTGAATTAGCCTACAGTATCTCAGCGGGAAAAACTGCCTATGGAGGTAGACTGCTATGGAAGAAGTTGACTGTTAGGGCGTCCTGCTGAGACACAGTTATTGAGGCCAACATGGCTTTTCTTAATCTTACAGGGCTGTGCAGACTCTAGCTTTACCTGCTGTCCTCTCTCCAGGAGGGCCTTGAGGCCAACACTGCCCTACAGCAGTACTCAACTCCTTACCCATTCCAGTCACAGCTTTCACCTTTTAGCCTGAGCACAAAGCCTTAAAGTCAGTGCGCAAATGAGCATCAGTGGGACGTTCCAAGGAAGTTCACTCAAACAGCATGGCACGTCACACCAACATGAATCAAACTTCTTTCTTTCTATGGTCACAATCAAGCTTCAAGGAGCCGAGTCAGGACTCCAGTTCAGCGTTACACCGCATGAGGTGTCATGCTTTAAGCAGGGCAGCTTGAGCATTTGGAAAGCCACCAGACAAAAAACTAAGTATAGTAGATGCAACTTGTTCCTCATAGGACTTAAAATAGCATCTCAGTGTACTCTTCCCTCTGATTTCCTTACACATTTGGAAACCATCAAGGTCAGAGCTCCAACAGCCGCACACAACAGCAACAAGTGAAGGGCCATAACTCCCCGGCAGGCTGGCTCACAGCGAGGTGCTGCCATTAACCACACGGCTCTCAGAAACCAGAGCTCTCAGTAGCATCTTGAGTATGACCAGAAACAGCAGCAGCTGCCAGCACAGGACCTCCATGGGCAGCCTGCTGCTCACCGTGCAGCTGCAGGATCGGCCCTGTGGGATCACACAGCAGCTGTGCCAGGCAGCTGGAGGCTGCTGTGTGTAAACATGGAGCCACGCACTCCAGGTCTCTTCCAAGGAAAGGGCAGCACTGAGGTCAGCTCTATGCCACCACACTGAATCCCACACACGCCCCAGAGCACAGAGATGGCGTTTCCCATCAGCAGCAATCCAAAAAGGTCTCCGCTCTACACTACTCCTTCCAACAAATAAAGCCACAGTCTTCATTTAGGCCATGCTCTGCCTAGGACCCAGCTGGCTTCCAGCCTTCTGGAGCTCCTACGCCCACCTCAGCACAGACTGGCCACAACAAAAGGCCGGACAATCCTTGCAGGCAGCACGCCTTCCTCAGATCCCATTCAAACTCCAAGCAGCCACCGCTGTAGCACAGCAACACGAGAACGACCAGACAGGGGAGGAAGCATTTATTAAAAGCAGGCCGCAGCAAGCAGCCGGGTCTCTCCTGCCCTATCCGTAAAGGAAAACGTTCCAGCCTAGGGCCGCCAGAGCAGCGGCCGCCCCGCCCGCCCAGCACAGCAGCCCGTGCACGGAGCCCTCCCGGTGTTGCCGGCGGGCAGCGCTCCGCTCCCAGAGGCCGGCAGGGCCGGATCCCCACGGGAAGCGACCGACCGACCAGCGCCGACACCCGCTGAGCGCCCGGCCGAGACACGGGGGCGCGCACTGCCGACCAGCGCCCGCGAGACCGCGCCCCGTCCCCACCGCTCGGCTCCTGCCCCGGCCGGGCAGACCCTCCAGGAGCCGGGCCCGCGCGATGCGGGGCGCTGCAGCCAGCCGCCGGGCCGGACCGAGCAGTGGGCCTGGAGACCCGCGAGCCTCGGGCGGGGCAGAGCGCAGCCCCTCACTCACCGCCCGCAGGGCCGCTCCCTGCCGCGGGTGCGTCTCGCAGGCCCCGGCCCTCACTTCCGCCTTTACCCGTTCCGCTTCCGGAACCGTCCGCCAGTTCCGCTCCTGCCTTGCAGGTCACGGGCAGCTGCATCTGCCAATCATCTTTGTCCCGCCTCATCGTGTCTCCGCCTCCTGCGGGGCGCGCTGTGTCACGTGTCCGCGCTCCTCTACGTCACTTCCTGTCCCTCGCAGAGCGCCGTGGGAATTGTAGTCCCGGAGTCTCCCGGCAGCGCTCTGGGCCGGGGGGCGTCGTGGGACACGATCCTCGGACGGGGTCCGGGGCGGGAGGGAACGGGTTGGAGACCCCGGTGCGCGCAAACCGCGTTGCCCCGCCCCGCACGCGCTTCCCGCCCCGCAGCTCGGCCCCATCCCGTCCGCAATCCCTCTTCCCCCCCCGGCAGCGCAGCCCCGAAGATGTAAAAATAGAACTTTTATTTCCCGTTCCGTCTGTGCGGTCCGGAGGGGCGCAGAGGGGAGAGGGGCAATGCCGACCCGGTGCACAGAACAACGGACAGCGCCCGGGGGGCAGCGCTGGTCCTTCACGGCATCGGTCCGGGGTGCCACCATCCCCCCGAGCCCCGCTCGCAGCGGCCCCGCATCGCCCCGGGTGGCGGCCGGCGCCCAACACCGGGCACGAGAGGTGTGCGGCCCCGGGGGGTGGGTTTACAAAAAGCCCCGTGGGCGAGGAGAGTATCAAAACCGGTACCAAAATCCGTGCAGAGCGGCCGGGAGCGACGCGAACCCGGGCCCGCACGGCGTGCCGTATGCGTCTCCGGAGTCGGGGGGGTCCCCGTCCCTCCGCCCTCCCGCGGCTCAGCGGGCGCTGGCGGAACCGGAGCGGGGCTGCGGGCGGGCGCGGGCCGAGCAGCCCGGGAAGGATTGGGCGAAACGCGGCGGCACCGCGGGCGGCGGGGTCGGGGACTGCGGGACGGGACGGGGCGGGCGCGGCGCGGGCTGCGGGGCTGCGGGGGACGGCGGGCGCGGTGCCTCCGTGCCCAGCCCCGGGGCGCCGGAGGCTGCGGGAACAGAGCGGCTGCGGGAGGGGGTTGAGCCCCGGGAGGCGGTGAGGGCCGGCGGGGGCCGGGGCGGCGGCGACGAGGCTCCGGGCGGACGACGAGGGCACGCGGGGGGCGGCGGGCGGCCCTGGAGCAGCTCCAGCACGCGCTGCAGCTCCCGGCCGAGCTGAGAAACCTCGCGGTTGAGGTGGGCGACCTGCAACGGGGACGGAAAGTTGTGAACCCCGACGGGGCGGGTGGGCCCCGCATTCCCGGGCGGCCCCGCACCTCCCGGCTCAGCCGCACGATGCTGCGCTCCGCCGCCTCCACCTCCGCCGCCAGTGCCGGGCCGCGTTCCGCAGTCCCTGCCGAGAAGATACCGCACGTCGCTGGGATCCCCTCGCTTCCCTTCTTCCCCTCCACCTCCCCCCCCTCCCCCCCCCCCCCCTTGGGAGGGGCGTACCTGGTGGCGGGGAGCCCCCGGGCGCGCCCTGCAGCCGAGTGGCCGCGCCGAAGCAGAAGGTTCGCACCTCCCGGGTTCCCCCGTCGTCCTCGATTCCGTCCACCACTCTGCAGGGGGGCAGTGAGGACCGAACTTCGTCCTCGCCGTGTCCGCCTCCGCCTCCTCCCGTACACGTGCAGCCCTCGGCCTTACCTGGGGCTGAGCTCAGGGGGTCCATTGGCGTTCAGGGAGGGGCCGAGGAGAAGAGCGGCCCTCCGGCCCCCGCCGCCCCCCGCCTCTCCCCGGGGCCGCGCCGTGGGGATGCCGCTCTCGTCTCCGCGAGGAGCGCCGGGGAGTCGCGTGGAGCTGCTACGTGGGGGCAGCAGCGGTTCGCGGGGGGTGACGGCGGGGGGCGATCGCTGGAAGACCTCATCCGCCTCTTCCTCGTCCTCTGCGATGCAGGGGAGAAGCTGCTCCGGGCCGGGGCCGCTTTCCGAGCGGGGCTTGCGGGCGTGGGCGGAGGGGTCAGCGCTGCTCCCCGCATCCTCGCGGCTCCCCACACCCGACAGCACGAACCTGTGACACCGCTTGCGAGAGGCGCGGAGAGCGGGCGAAACGGCCGATCCCCTGAGAGAGAGATTTGGAGACGTCAGCGGGCGGAGCTGTACCCGCATCGGGCCGCAGCCCTCGGCGCCCCCGGACAGCCCGAAAGCCGGCCCCAAACTGCAGTCCCGCAGCTCCGTGCCAGGCTACGGGGCTCGCAGCCCACGCCTCTCCTCTCCTGCTCTCAGTGCTGTGCTGGGCCCCAGACCCCACTGTCAGGACATCACCTTCCCACGGGCAGCACGGGGCTCCTGCAGGACACAACGCGCCTTGCTTGCATCCGCCTCGGTTTGTTCATAACTGTCCCCGGTGAGGGACAAAGCTCTTCGGTGCACGGAGCGACCTTCCGCCCTGCCCAGGGGGCGGTGTGTGTCGGGGGACACACGGCGCAGCCTCCACTGCTCCGGAGCCAGGAAGGGGGGAGGCGGTGGGCAAGAGGACCCCCTTGGCAGCACGACTCGACTCGGCCGCCTTCTGCGGGCGGGCCGCGTCCAGGCTGCCTTCCCCCCACCTCCTTCCTGAGCTGAGGAAAGCCGCCGGGACGCACCTGCACGGGGCGGCAGAGCCGCGGAGCCTCGGGAGCGCGAGAACTGAGCAGACGAACTCCCCACCCCGACCACGCAGAGCCCCAGCCCTGCTCCCGGCTCTGGGGACGCGAGGACGAGAAAGGGCCTGCAGGGGGGGACACGCACCCACCTCCATCTCGCTGCCCTCCCGCAGGTTGAAGGTGAGGTCCTGGTGGATGTCAGCTGCGAACTTGCTGGCGTACTCTGGGTAGAGCCGCAGCACCTCGCGCAGCCCCCGCAGCCCGATGTACTGCAGGTCGCAGTAGGTCAGCGCTTTCACGTCCGCGTTGGTTTTGATCACCGGGTCCCTGCCGGCCAGGTCGGCGCCGATCAAATCCCCTTTGCCTGCAGGAGGGGATGGGGCAGCGGCTATGGCGGTGCCAGCCCCATAGCGGGCGGGCAGCAACGCGCTGTGGGGGCGGCCCTCACCCAGGATGGCCAACACCACGCTGTCCCTCAGCACCTCGAGGGAGCCGGAGCAGACGAAGTAGTCGGCCTGCAGCGCGTCGCCTTGCCGCAGCAGGTACTCGCCCGGCGCACAGAACGACGTCTTGATGTGCAGCGAGAGCGACCGCAAGCAGCCTCGGCTGGCAGTCTCGAAGATGGGCAGCTGCAGGATGTCCTTGTTCAGGTGCATGGCCACGTCGGCACGGAGCTCGTCGGGGAAGTCACGCAGCAGCTGGGGAGAGAGGAGCCGGCATGGGGGAATGGAGCATCCCTGCGCCCTGTGGGGCTGGGAGCGTTGGCAGGACCTCTCTGCACGGCAAACTCAGACAGCTCAGGACAGGCCGCCCCGCTCCTGTGCACAGCTCTGCTCTCTCCAGCAGCAGCACATGGACGTGTGCACACACACGCGCCTGCACTCCTGTCACTGCCCTCGGAGCAGGAGGAGAGAGGAAGGGCCGGCCCTGCCGAACCCTCCTACCTCGTTAGCATCTATGCCGTTGTTCACCGACCAGGTGGTCTGGAAGTACTCCAGCATCCTCTGCTTGAGCTGCTGGGGCAGGCGGTGCACGCGGATGAAATCCTTGAGGTCCTTCATGCGGGTGTGGTAGAGCAAGCGGCGCGAGTACATGCGCTGGATGATGGCCGTGACGTTGCCAAAGACGACGGCGTGCATCAGCGCTGGGGACCGGGAGGCAGTGTCAGCCCAGGGGGGGCAGGGCCAGGGTGGGCTGTGCTCAGTGGCACCGTGGGGCTGAAGGATGCAGCCATGCAGTCACAACCCCATCTCCTCCCGCCGGCTACCCGCCTCACCGCCAATGAGCATGGTGCAGATGGAGAAGATCTTCTCGGCGTCCGTGTTGGCGCAGACGTTGCCGAAACCCACGCTGGTCAGGCTGCTGAGGGTGAAGTAGAGGGAGGCGATGTAGGCGCTGCGGATGGAGGGCCCCCCCGCTGAGTTGTTGATGTAGGGAGCCTCCAGCCTCTTGCCCAGCTCGTGCAGCCAGCCTGCCAAGCACAGCCCAGGGTCAGTGCTCACCACGCGGCAGCCACGCTCAGCGCAGCCGCAGCCCTGCCCCGGCTGCGCTCTGCAGGAGGAGCCGGCCAGAAGTTCCGTGCCCGCACTTACCGATGTCCCAGGTCAGCGGGTCGTTGCTCTCCATCTCCTTGCGGCCGATGACGTACCAGATGCACGCCATCCAGTGGGCCAGCAGCGCAAATACAGACATGAGCAGCGTCAGCACCATGGCGCTGTACTGCGAGTACCGGTCCAACTTCTGCAGCAGCCGCAGCAGCCGCAGCAGGCGCACGGTCTTCAGCAAATGCACCAGCGAGGTCTGAGGAGCAGGCAGGAGGGTGAATCTGGCAGAGCTGCAGGAAGGGCTGGGGAGGACCCCCATGGAGGACCCCCCCGCCTCCCTCTGGGGCAGAGACCCTCCACCGCTCCCCACGAGCGCAGGAGGCTCGTGGGCTATAGAATGGGCTGGGTGCCCCCCCCCGCCGTGCAGCCGTAGAGCCCCTCTCCCCACCCTCACCACAGTCACGTTGAAGATGTAGAGCAGGTCGAAGGGCAGTGCAGCAATCAGGTCCACGAAGAACCAGGTGGCCACGTAATGGATGCAGATGGAGTGGGGCTCGTACACCACCTGGCCTGAGTGGCTCACGTACGTCGTTCGGAAATTCAGGATGATGTCTGCCCCAGGGGGAGCACGGCGGCCCTGAGTGCCCCACTGCAGCCGGGGGGCTGGGCTGGGTCCCAGCCGAGGACATCCTCGTGCCCAAGGAAGGTGCGCATCTCTGGGCACAGACCTACCCAGGATGAAGAGCATCTCCACCGCGATGTCACTGACGATGGTGCTGCGCGCGGCTGAGAGGCTGTCCTCTGTGCTGGTGAAGCAGACGTTGTAGGGGACGGTGACAGCCACGTAGAAAGTGGCCACCAGGATCAGCCAGTCCCAGAGGGCCTTGAAGATGCTGTAGTGCAGCAGGATGAAGTGGGCTTTCTGCACCGAGGCCACTTTGTACTCAGGGATGGAGGGTTTGTTCTCAAACACGTTCTGAGGGAGCAGAGGTGGCACAGGAATGGTCCCTCTTTGCAGGCTCCCTTTCCTGGGATGCCCCAGGACCCAATGTCGTGGTGATGGACACGGCTGTCCGATGGGGCACGTAGCACACAGGCTGCACTGCGATCACCCCAAAGCCGGGCAGAGTAACCGATTGCTGCCATAAATTGATGTTGCACTCATGCTATTAACAGCAACCCACTGTCAGTGCCAGCTGCTGCCTTCAACAGCCCCACGTGCAAATTCACGTGCAGTGGGCAGAGCCCCCCACCACCCTCTGCACTGGCACTGATGGCACTGCCGTCTCTCCTGCCCCTTTCCTCCCAGGCTCAGCACTGCTGGCTGCACCCACATCCCTGCAGCAGGCCAGCACAGCGTGCTGCTGCTGGAAACCACTGCTCACGCACCCAGTGACTGGTAACGGCACTCCCTGGGGCACCTGGGCTTCCCCACAGCTCACACAGAAAAGAGTCAACATGCAAGAGCTGCCAAAAGCTCTGCTTTCCCCACAGAATCCTCTGTTCTGCTGCCTACCGGCAACCTTTGTACCAGACCATGGTGCAGCTGCCTGCATTTCTGTGCCTTGGGGGACAGCGAGGAGCATGGCGCGGGGAGAGCGCCCTGCAATGCCAGGCTCCACGTGCACCCGGCTCCTTACCCGATTGATTTTCATCTCACCACGGTTCCGCCGTGCAAACTGGCTGCTGAGCCGGTGCAGCACCGTCCTGCCCTGCCGCCGTGCCGCCCGCAGGTGTGAGCTGCCAGGTTTCTTGCTCCTCTGCTTCTCTGCAGAGATGATGCGCTGGTTTAGCGGGACCGCTCCCCAGAGCTGTGGAAATGAGCCCCATTTCTCCCATCCCCCTCCCCTGGGAGTCACTCAGAGCTCAGGTCCCGGGGGTCCCGGGGTCTCTCTGAGTGCACTGAGATGGGACGCAACGCCAGGCAGGAGCAACTGGAGCTGGGACCCCCCCAGCACATGTCCACCGCACACACGGCTGTGAGCCTCGAATCCCATCCCCACCCCACCACTACGGCTCACCCTCCTTCCTGTCGCTTGGATGGCTCTTGCCCCGGCTCTCTGTGATGTCCTTGAAGGAGACAAGGAAGAGCACCACCTCCCCCTTCTCGTTCTTGATGGGCATGATGTCCACCAGACACCAGAACGCAGCTCCTGCGTGGAGGAGAGGAAAGGGTCGGCAGGAAGCCCCTCCGAGGGCTGAGTTCTGTCCAGAGCTGCCCACGGGGCCCCGCGCCTGTGCCACTCACCACCCTTCTTGTAGAAGCAGACCTCGGCCTGCTGCTCCTGCTTGCCCTCCAGCACCTTCTCGATGCGCTGCAGGACGGGTTCGCTGGTCTCAGCCCCGCAGAGGAAGCGGCAGCTGCAGTTCTTCTGCATCACCTCGGTGCGGGCGAAGCCGGTCAGGTCGCAGAAACCATCAGAGCAGTAGACAATGGGGAAACCACGGCGGACCTGAGCGTTGGCCAGGATGAAATTGCTGTCTGAAAGGAGACACAGCAGCCCCTGAGGGCTCGGGGCTGTTCTAGGGGGCACCCCCTCTCCTCCCCAGCAGAGCAGTGGTCACACGTCGCCATCTGCACCAGGGGACACGCAGCAGGTGGCTGCACGCCCTGCATTCACCCAGCGCCAGCAGAGCCATGGGGAAACACAGCCCATGCTGTGCCCTGCGTGGGGAGATCCCAATGGCGAGCCCCCCCTGCTCTGCCACCCCACAGGCCCCAGCCACAGGCAGGACCCCAGCCCAGCCCCACCACACTGTGAGGGGAAGGAGCTCCCTGCAGCCCCTGGCTCTCCTTGCAACGAGCCACGATCCCACACGAGGTGATCCGCGCCTCCCCCTCACCATCTGCTGCTCCCACCTCCCTGCTGGGTGTGGAGCTTAGCAGGGGACAGTCAATGAGGACAGGCAGTGCCAGCCCCTGCGGCCCCCCGCCCAGCAGAGAGGTGGGAGCGATGCCACCAAGCCCTGAGCCCACTCCAAGCCAGGGAAGGATAGAGGCGTGTAGAAATGCAGTGTTCTTGGCTGCCACAGCACCGCAACGCTCGCTGCCTGCCAGCACCACCCCTGCCCTGCAGGACAGCCCTGGGCTGGGCTCTATCAGCAGGGCTGCACATGCTGGCCGGAGGCTCTGTGCCAGCCAGCCAGATGGCTTTGTGCTTTAGCCCAGGGAAGGGTGTGCACAAGGGCAGCAAGGAAGTGGGATGCACGGCCAGCAGGGTCTGCATTCACAACGAGGGCAGAACGGGGGCCACCATCCGGATGCAGTCTCAAGCCCGAGGGTCGCAGCCCAGCATCCCTGCATTCCACACCCCCAGCACCCAGGAAAACATCACCTTCCCATTTCACAGCACAGGGGAGGGAGGCCCACAGCAGATTACAGTGCAAAGCCATGCCAGGACAGAGCAGCCTGGGCAAGGGCAGCAGGGAGCCACACACAGCCCTGGTGCGATGGGAGGTGCAGCGGGGCCACCACAGTACAGCTCAACCCCGGATTAGCTTGGAGAAGCAAAAATAGCTGTGACTAAGGCCAGATTTTTGCTCTGGGGAGCCGGGATTATTATGGTGTCCAGGGTGTGTTATTAGAAAGGAAAAAAAAGGCTCTCACTGGGGAGCAGCACAGCCACAAAGGGGACTGCAGCCCCACTGTGGTGATGGCTTGCCTGGACGAGCAATGCAGGGCCTATGAGGCAGCAGCTGTGTGGGAGAGGCAGGGTTAAGTCGTGCCACGTATCACTGCAGCTAAAGCCCCTCTCCATGGCAGATAAAGCCGATAAGAGACACATCGAACCCACAAAGCCAGACACTGTTTAAAAGCACCCGTAGGGCAGGTTCAAGCCATCGAAGGCAGGGTGCTGTTGCTCACCCTTGCTCTGTGGGGCAAACTCTCAGTGTGGGCATGCTCCTGGCTCCAAGCATCATCAGAGCAGTCCCAGCACAGCAAGAGACGGAAATCCTGGGAGGCCTGGAAGATTCTGGGGAGGCGTGGGGCTGGCTATGGTCACAGCCCATTCCTGAGTGGCTGCACGGTGCCAATACTGCCGGAAGCTGGCATGTTGCATCCCCACATAATCCCCTCTCCAACGTGCCGGGGCTTCAATCTGTCCTGGCCCCAGCACAGGGGCATGGAGACAGGGAGGAACCCAGCTCCTGGGCTACTCCAGCACCTCCAGCTGCAGGAATTGGCTCCAGAATAGGCACTGCTGGGCTCTGCTCCACACTCTGCCATAGCACACTGCTGCCAGTGCCCACATCTCCCAGGGATGCAGCTCCATGCAATGGCTTGGGCTGGAAGGGACCTTTAAGATCGCCCAGTGCTGGCTGCAAGCAAATGAGATGCTCTCGCGGCAGGCAGAACCCAGCCCATCACCTACACTCCAGGAGGTGGGGATCGACAGCCGGCGCCGTGCAACAGCGGGGCTGTGGAGCTCCAAACCACGTTGGTGGCCAGAATTCCATGTGCCACGGGTACAGCAGGCAGGCGCTGTGCTGCGTGGCCATCCCATGGCATCCCGCAGTGCCGGGGGTTCCCAGGGTAGCACCCAACTCCCTGCTCCCATCCATCCCTAGGGGGCTCCAGATCCGGCTGCTGCTGGCACACCGGGAATTTGGGGCTGGGGCAGAGCAGGGCGCTGCTCTCCGCACTGCGAGCCCTGAACCGGGGCCGCCTCTCGCGCCCCCTCCCGGGGACGCAATCAGTGCAGGAGGGGCGCGGAGGCCCCCGTCAGCCCCGCCTTCGTTCTGTCGCTGATGCTGAACGGAGCCGGGGTCCTCCCGGCGCACCGACAGCGGGGAACGGGACAGTGCGACGCTCCCGGCCGGCTGCGCATGGAGGGGGAGACTGAGCCCGGTTGAGGGACAGACAGCTTGGGGTCCGCGCGAACCGCCCAGCCCCGGGGGCTCCGATGCCGCCCCGAGGGGCTCCGCCTCTCCCTGCCCGCCCCCCGCCGCGGTCCCGGAGCGCAGCCCTACGTGTGCCATCGAAGCGGGTGGCGATGGTGTCCAGGAAGGTGTTCTGCGGAGCCAGCAGACCCTTCATCACCGGCATCGTCACTCCGGGCCGCCCGCCCCGGGCTGCGGAACCGGTGCTGCCCCAGCGGCGCGGGTAATCCCGGCTCGGCCCGGCCCGCCCTGGGCTTCGGCTCCGCCCCCAGCCCCGCCCCGGGCACCGGAGGGGTGTCGGCACCGGCGGGCACCGGCGGCTGCTCGGCTGCGCGCGGCTCTGCCCCGGGAGGCGCCGCGCCGGGTCCCGCTCGGTACCCGCTGCTCCGGGAGGCAACGGCCCCCCGGGAGGGGCGGGATCCACCCTCGGGCCGGGGCCGGCAGCGGGACCGCAGCCCCGCGGCAGAGCCGTGCCTCCGGGCCCCTGCAGGGACGAGGCGGAGCCGGCTGACATCGGGCTACCGTTTATTGTAAAAGGCCAAGTGTGCCGAGCCTTGGCCGGGGCCACAGGCAGGTATTTAAAAGTGCTATTTGCACTGACCCCCCCGCGGACCCCTCCCCGCCCCGCAGCCCATCTCAGTAAAAGCTCTTCGCCGCTCCCCTGCCCTTGGTCAGGTCCTTCTCGGCGTGCTCCTGGCACTCCCTGGGGCTGGCAGCAGCGCCCCTCGGGGTCACCGTCGGCTGAGTGCCCGCAGCGCAGCTCGGCGCGTCGCGGCAGGCGGTGCCGGGGCGCTCCTCACGTTTGCCCATGGTGAGGATACCCGCCGCGTGGTTGCCGGAGCCGTGCAGCAGGCGGTACAGCCTGCTCTGGAATGCCGGTGGGATGCTCTTCCTCTTGCCCAGCGTGAGGATGCCGGCGGCGTGGTTGCCCATGCCGTGCAGGAGGTCGTAGATACGGCAGGAGCAGGTTTTCTGCCGGCAACACTCGGGCAGGCTCTGCCGGGCCACGGCCAGGGAGCAGAGCAGCAGCAGCAGCAGCAGGAGGCAGGCGGATCGCTGCAGCTGCCAGACAACGGCCGCGTTGGTACAGGGCTCAGCTCCCCCCCTGCAGGCTGCCCGCTCATCGCCTCTCCGGGGCACATCGGGGAGGGAGGGGATCCCAAGGAGATTCGCTCCTGCCTCGCCATCCCAGCCCAGAAACCACACTGTGAGCAGGACTTGGCTGCAGAGATCTTCGTCAGCACTTACCTGCGCCGGCACACAGCCTGCACCCTCCCCTCGTCACCGGGTGCTGCGGAGGAGCAGCGGGAGCAGCCACACTTGGCTCGTGCCAAAGCACGGTGCTGCGTGCGTCCCGCAGGGAACCCAGGCAGGGCTGAGCCCCCCGACCTCCGTTCACCGGGGAACCGGCCCAGCTCTCACAAGACCCCAGCAGTGCCCCTGACCACCCCCAGCCCCACCTTGGTGTTGGGCACCTCCATCCTTCTGGGTGTCTTCAGGTGGCCGAGCGGCGCTGGCGCATGTCCTGCTGGGGCTGAGGAACGCAGCCCTGAGCCGCACACCGGGGCTTTATAGGGGCGGCCCCCCCCAGTCCCCGGCCCCGCACAATAGCGCTGCCAAAAATACCGTCCGGTCTCTGGGAGATGCGTGGTCTTTGTTGTCGGTAGCTCGGAAACCGGTCAGGCCTTTCCCCTCATTTGTGGCTCTGTATTATGTGGGTGCAGCGCGGGACGGGGGTGCGTGGCACTAATGAAGCCATAATTACCCGAGGGACCCGCAGCCCCACAAAGCCGCGTGAAGGTCAGCGCCGGGGGAAGCGCCAACCGCTCCCAACAACGGCAGCTCTCGGGTCAGCTCCGCGTGGCCCCATTAGGCTAATTACCGCTCGAACAAAGGGGCGCCGGGCAGCCGCCGGCTGCGTGCTGCGCTGACGTGCGGGGAAGGTGCAAATGGAACCGGCAGGAGGATGGTGTCCTCACCGCCACGGCCACCCGTCTCATTCGGTGACCCCAGCCCCGAGAGGGACAGCAGCGCACGGCGTGGGTCTCACACACTTTACAAACAGAATGCTCCGCAGCCCCAGACCACCCCTGACCCACAGCCCACACCGCGGTGAGCTCACTCAGGGGACGAGCCCAGGACGAGCTCCCTGACGCCAGAGGACACAGCCCCCGGCAGCCCCGCTCTGCAGTGGTCCCACTGCCCCCGACCCATTGCCAGCTTCCCTACAGGTGCCTTCCCAGCCCCTCTGCACAGCAGGGGCCCGAGGACACCTGGGAAAACCCTGGGAGAAGGGACAGTTGGTCAGACAGACCCCTTCCAGCCATGCAGGCAGTCTCCAGGGCTGGCAAAGGCAGAATCTGCAGCCCTGACAGCCAGAGCCCACAGAGGGGCAGTTCTTACAGGGCTGGTGGCACAGCAGGCTGGGGGTGCATGCACACAGCCAGGTGCCAGCAGTCCAACCCCCCGGTCCCACAGCACAGCACCCGCTCTGGAAGCAGATGGAAGAGGCCTGGGAAGCTGGAGGGAGCAGACAGGAGTGGGGCCCCCCAATGCCCTGCAGCGTCTGCAGGCAGGTGGATGACTGTTGGCACCATTGCAGCCCCTCAGCACCCTGCCCATTCCCATCCCCAACCGTGACACAGGCTCTGTTCTACTCTCTGTAGTTCCTGTTCCTGCAGCAGAGGCTGCTCCATGGGAGCTGCCTGAGCCCCAGGCCGGGGTCAGCAGGACGCGGCATCGCTGCCTCCTTCTGCCTCAGGGATGGGCTCCAGTGGTGCGCGCAGCCGGGACGGCTCCGGCGAGGCCAAACCGTTCCTGCCGATGCCACAGGACTGCCCGGCATTGTGGATCTGCCAGAGGTTGTCCAGCGCCTCCGCCTTGGCATGCTTGAGAAGGTCAGCCTGGCCCTGCCGGGGGGAGAAGACATCAGGGAATGCAGCCACGTCGCTGAGTCCCTCTGTGCCACCTCCAGTGCACGGCCACGCCACGCAGCACAGGGATGTGCTGGGCTCAGGATTATCGTGGACCACAACCAGCCCGCGCTTCTGGAGCATCCCCTCGATGCTGGTTCCGCTTCCCTGCACACCAGCAGGGTCAGCAGCAGAGGGGACAGAGGCACAGCGTGCTCCTCTCACCTTCAGGACGGTGATGTTCCAGGCAAAGCTCTCCAGTGCTTTCTGCAGCTTCCGTCCCCGCAGCCCCTCCTTGGCCTCGATGCGGTGCAGCTCCTTGTGGAAGTCCATACCTGTGGCACACAGAGCTCTGCTCAGCTCCACGGTGCGTGGGGGGACAGCCATTGCCACAGGGGATGGGGACGGGACGTCCATCACCCAGCAGAGAACCTCGTGGTCAGCCTCAGCAGCCCCCTCCCAGTAAGGAATGATGTCCCAACACAGCCCCCGCCGCCTCACCCCCATCCCTTGTTGAGTTTGGATCCCAAAGCCCACAGGATTGGGATGGGCTGCAGTGACCCCAGGCAGAGGCACAGCCCCTCCATACCACAGCCCACCCAGAGGGGCTCAGAGAGGAGCAGTTGCCCCCCCTCTCCCCCCCATGCTGGAGCATGTGCCCCCACACTGCACATGATGTCCTTGTGAGCAGGTGCTAAATTTACCCCTCCCTGACGCAGCACTGGCTCTGGGCCCACACGAGGGCTCCCACACAGGCCTGCTCACCCACACGCTGCCAATCAGCTCACACCTCCCCACACCCCCAGCCCCACCGCCGGCACCCCCAGACCCCACAGCGCCCGTACTGCTGTGGCTCAACCATGGCACCGTGGGGTGAACGCAGGGAGCAGCACTCAGGCACAGAGGTCATGGCTGCAGGCCCCCAGTGTAGGGGTCAGCACACCCCAGACCTCTGCCCCCAGGGAGGACAAGGGACACGGGGCACTGCTCACTTCTGCAGCACAGCAGAGGGCTCCCACAGCCAACGCGGTGCAGGAGATGCAGAGCCCCCCCCCCAGCTCGCACCTCCAGCCCCCCTGCTGTGCTCCTCATCACTGACAGCAGCAACAGAGCTCAAAGCCAAATGCCTGGGGAGGTTTCTGGGCTGCCATGCAGCCAAGCCAAGGAACAAACAGGGCTGCTGGCAGCAGCTGGCACTGGCAGGGGTTGCACAGCACGGACCCTCTCCTCCTTGTAGCCTACAGTGCCCAGAACACCCCCAGCCCTACAGGGTGCCCCCACACAGTCCTGCGGCCAGCAGTCCCACGGAGCAGCCACAGCTGCCTCTACAGCACACAGGACCTTGGCGTTACCCGTTAGTGCCTACCAGCAGCAAGGTGCTGGGAGCGGGGCAGTGGTGCCTGGGGCAGGATGGGTCCCGGGCCCGGATAAGGCAGCCAGCAGCACCTGTCTGCGTGGGTTCAGCCATGTGTCTTTTAAGTCATAACATTCAGTTGCCACTTCTACCGTCAGCCTCAGTCTGTTATTTCTGATGCTAATTATACTCCGGCGTTTGGCAGCTAATGACTCTTCTCTGCTTCCTCATCAGCCTCCTCCGCTCTGTGCGCTCCCTCCCAGCCCCCCACAGCCCCCCGGCCCCAGCAGTGCTCCCTCACTGCGGGCTCTGGGCAGATCCCTGCACCACTCCTCGCAGCAAGGCCAGGATGTGGGAAGGCCAAAGAGCTGAGCCCTGGGCTGCCCCAACAAGCCTCTCTCCCGAGCCAGCCAGGTGCTGCCCCAGAGCACTGATGCCCACACCACTCATCCTCTGCTGTGCACTGCAGGCGTGCAACACACAGACTGAAATGCCAGCGCACTCTGCACACAGCCTGGTGCTGTTCTGAAGATCCCTGTGGGGACAGCATCCCCAGGAGGCGCAGCACACTGCACACAGCACTGTGCACTCAGCACCCCCAGACCCACCTGCCTGCTGCGCCTGGATGAGCTTGCTGTGCACTGCGTCAGCAGACTCGATCAGCGTCCGGCTGGTCTGGATCATCTGAGGAAAGAGGGGCAGTGAGAGGAGCTGCGCAGCCCTGAGCCCTCTGTGCTCCCTACACCCCATGCCTGCAGAGCACCTCCCAGCCAGCCCTCCCCCCTCCAGGACGGGACCCATCCTGGGACTCCCCGGTGCACAGGGCTGTAGGCAAACAGCTTGGAGCAGGATGGACCCCGGAGCACCCAGACCCAGAACTTACCGTCTCGTAGGCAGTGAGGACCTTGCGCAGCAGGTCAGGGATGGGGCCCTGTGCCTCCATGGGGGGGTACTGCTCAGCCAGGTTGAGGGTGACGCTGGGCACACTGTCACTGTGCAGCAGCCACGCAGCCACCGTCAGGATGCACTGCTTCATGTTGGCGGCGGGCGTCAGGCCGCACAGCTCCTTGAAGGAGACCAGCGCGTTCTGCGGGCAGAGAGCAGCGTCGGGCTGGGCCAGGAGCACCCCAGCACCCGCAGCCCAGCACCACCTCCCCAGACCCCACGGTGCCGTGTGGCTCCAGTACCTGCACGTTCTCCCGCAGGTCGGTGGCCTCTCGCAGGGGCTGAGTGGCCGTCCGGAAGACCTCATCGATGGCCTTGATGCCGGTGGCTTTGGTGGACGTATACTCGCGCACCCGGCGGCCCCGGCGCCCTGCCAGCCCCCGGCGGTGCCCCTTGCCCCCCCCCGCGGCGGTCGGTGATGGCCACGTGCACAAAGAGGGTGGCGTGGGGCAGGGGCTCCCCAGACAGCGACTGGAGCGGGACGTGGCGGTAGCCAGGCTGCAGGCACTCGAAGGGGATGGTGTACTGCGCAATGAACTCGTCCCCGATGTAGTCATCATCCAGCACGACGAAGCGCAGCACAGCCAGCTCGGGCAGGTTGATCTGGAACTCCAGGCTCTCATCGAAGACGGGGTTGTCCCCGCTCTGCAGGGCCGTCTTGGTGCGGTGCTCCGCGCAGTCAGCTGGGATGCCGTGGATCTCAGCGCAGACGTAGGGCTCCACCACCTCCCCCTTGGCCCCCGAGCCCTTTGGCTTGGGCAGGTTCTGCCCGCTGATGACTTTGAGGTGCAGGAGCTGTGCGGGCACCCCGGGCAGGGAGTCCTTGGCGTTGGCACTGAAGTAGGAGACCTCCTCCCGCATGATGGCGGGGCGGAGGACGTAACCGCAAGCCCCGTTCTGCCGGAACCAGCCCGCGTTGAGGTCCATCATCAGCCCCGGCGTCTGGTAGTTCATGGCCACCATCTGGCAGCCGCACTTCCAGAAGTCCTGTGGGTTCATGTTGCTGGCATCGATGCGCATGGGGCTGGGGTAGACGCGGGAGAGGAAGCGCTTGTTGTAGCTCACCAGCTCGGCCGGGCACTCGTTGGCGAAGCGGCCCGCCTCCACCTCGCTGAAGGAGCACATCTCCCAGTAGCGCTGCCCGCGCCGTGAGCTCTCGAAGTCCTGGAAGGGGACGGCCTGGCAGAGGCTCACCAGCTCCGAGAGCTCACGGCTGAGCCGCACGCGCCGCCGGGCCCCCCCTTCCGCCGCCTCGCGGTCCTCCTGGCCCAGCCTCCGCGCCAGCTCCCGGCCTTCCTCGTCGTCCGACACCTCCCCCTCGCTGTCCTCGCAGCCGGGCGGCAGCTTCTTGCCCTTGATCAGGATGCGGCCCTTGAGCCGCTCCGGGGAGGGCAGGTAGGAGGCGGCGGGGTCGGGCGGCTCCAGGTAGAGCTTCTCGCCCAGCGTCTTGCGCAGGCACTGGGCGGCCAGGCGCTGCTGGGCGGCAGAGCAGCGCACCACCAGGCAGAGGATCAGCGGGTAGGCGGAGGCGGTGAAGGCGTGCTGGTCGATCAGCCCCACCACGGAGCGGAAGGGCACGCAGGAGGCGGCCGAGGGGCTGGTGTAGACCACGGGCTCCCCGTCGGGGCCGTCCCACAGCACCAGCTCGATGCTGCGGCAGCCCAGCCCCAGCGCGCTGACGTATCCGCTGATGTCCGAGCGGCCCCAGAAGTTGTCCTCCAGCAGGCAGGCGCTGTGGGCAGAGCTGATGTAGTAGTGGGAGAGAGGCTGCGCCATGTCCTGGCACACACGGCGGTGCTGCGGGTCGAAGATGGAGCATTCGGAGGAGAGCAGGTAGCGGGTGAAGCCGTCGATGGCCAGGTAGCCCTTCTCCCGGCCCTCTTTGGAGGGCTCGTACTTGCTGACAATCTCCAAGCACTTCTCCTCCGTGACGCCCTCCATGCCCTGCTCCACCTCCAGGAACGTCAGCAGGTCCTTCAGGCCCAGGTACTCCTTGTTGCTGGAGAACTGCACCAGCAGGAAGAAGATCTCGGGCCGGGTGCAGAGCTCGCAGTATGCCTCCACAAACAGGTCGCAGGCCACCTCAGTGCCGGGACGCTCGCTGGCCTTCTGCAGCTCCTTGAACTTCAGCTCAATGGTGGACACCTTCATGCCGGGGTTGAGCGCCTTGATGAGCTGCACGGCGCGGGACACGGGGATGCGGCCGGACTTCTCCAGGTCAGCGAGGTCGAAGACGGAGGAGATCCAGGAGGTGCGCAGGCTGGGGTGGCCGGACCCCAGGGCCTCGGGCGTGTGCTTCCCATAGGACAGCAGGTACCGCAGCCCCATCACCCAGGCGCTCACCACGTCGGCTGAGCTGGCCACCAGGTCCAGGGACTCGTAGTTGTCTCCATAGATGATGGAGAAGGCGCACTCATCGGGGAACTGGTCAGAGAGGCCATTGCTGCGCAGGATGGGCGTTTTCTTGCCCACGCGCACCTCCTTCACCGATTTGATCTCAATCTTGGCCTTCTCTGAGTCCTTCTTGGAAGGCTCCCAGCGCACGGAGCGCATGTCGGCATCCAGCACGAAGAAGCGGCTGTACATACGGGAGTTGGAGCGCACCTTCTTCAGCTCACAGCCCTCCAGCATGAAGGAGATGCAGGCAGCTGCGCTGTTTATCTTCCGGTCGTTGGGCATCGTGCTGAAGGACACCGTCTTCTTCTGCATGGGCCGCTGCCGGGAGCCGTCCTGCCGGGATGGCAGAAGGAGCAGAGCCCTCAGGGCAAGGCACCACGCACTCCCCGTCCCCCAGGCTCCCACCCCAGCCCTGACGCATAGGCAGGAGTCCCAGGAGCTCCATGCCATACAAAGCCCTCTGGACTCATTGGACCCTCTCCTCTGGCCCAGGAGGTCAGGAGTTTGCTCCAGCTGGGGCCTCCCCCCACTGCCAGGCTTATTTTAACTCTGCATTCCTTCCTTCCTTCCTTCCTGCTCCCGGCCCTGAGCCGGATCCTGCCCCACCGCTTGCTCACCCCCAGGGGTAAAGCCGTGCACAGGCTCTCCCCAGGTCTGCTGGATGCTGGAAGAGAAAGGTCCTGGCAGGACCCCCCTGTACCCACTGTGCCCTGCACCCCCAGGCACCAACCCCAGGCAATGCGGGAAGCAGTTCCCCAGGGTGGGGAAGAGAAGACCCTACCGCCAATGGGTTGAAGTGAAGGGGGATGGGATGGGGAACAGCAGGGCTGGGAGCATATTATGGGATAGATTTCATTAAGTAGTGCAGCAGGGAGATTTAATCCCCTTCTTCAAGATTATGGTGAGTCACCTCTAATCTGGTGGTATCTCTGGCACATGCAGGCTCTTCCCAGCTGCCAGGGTTTGTGGACAATGGAGTGTCTCCTCCAGCACTTCAAGAGCTTTCACATCTCCATGGCAGAGCTGCTGCAGCACAGGCTGGCAGCCCAGGCATGCACACCGCAGTGTTTCATTCTAAAAGGTCTGGATTTGGCTCTATGGGTCCAGGCAGCCCTAACCAAAGACAATCAGGACAAGATAGCCAGCTCCAGCCAAGGGTGAATGGGAAATGATGCCCCAAAGAAGGGGAAAAACCACACTTATCACCATTCCTATGCCAGAGCTAGCTGGACGCTGCTGGATCAGAGGTAGAAGCCACGGGAACATCTAAGGACCCAGCTCAGCTTGCCCAAGCAGGGAGAGGATGCTCACAAAGGGCATCCTGCTGAGATGCTCAGCCCAAAGCTGAGCCTCAGTGCTGGGCATGGAGTGCTTGGCATCAGGCTCACGGGAAGGGCTGAGCGTCTACACCACTGTCAGGATGCTTCCTGTGAGCAGCAATCTGAGAACAGCGCTGCCCCGCAGCTCCAGACCCCGGCACCCACTTGCAGGTGTCCCTGCCGGCAGCCGGGAGCGCGGCTTCGTTGCCGTGCCGGGGCCAGAGCTGCAAGGCCCTGCAGACCCACACCCAGCCCGGTGCGCGCCCCACCCCTACACCGGGCCCCAGCGCAGAAAACAGGAAATCCATCCGGAAAGGAAACGCGGGGCGGGGGGCCCGCTCGCACCCAGCAGCTGCCGGGACCTGCCTCCAGCTGCTCCGGAGCAAACCTCAGCCACAGCTGGCAGCGGACGCAGCCCCTGCATGGGCTCAGGAGAGCCCTCGGTGCGCACAGGGCACGCGCCGCTCAGCACCTCCCGGTGCTCGCTGCAGCTTCGTGCATCCACACACCGCTGCCGCCGGCCTCGCCCCTCTGCTGTCCGCCGGCCTCACGCACACGGAGAGCGAAGCCGCTGCTCCTAGCAGCGCGTTGCTCCGGCGCGTTCAGCCGGCCGAGCTGGGATGCGCTGCTCCGTGCCCAGCGCTTGGCCGGGCGCGGGCAGCAGCGGGACGGGCAGAGCTCCGAAGGTACAAAGTAGGTCAGCAGCGTGGGTGGGAGGACGCGGTGCTGCGGCCGGGAGAGCCCCGCCACCGCCTGCGGGGAGCACGGAGAATCCCAGCGGCGGGGCAGAGCTCCAGCACGGGGCGCATCACAGCCGCGCAGCCGACCAACCTCCGAGCCCACGGCGACGCTGACCGCAATGCTGACTGCCGGCACCCAGCCGAGCATGGACAGCACGTCCAAACCCAGCTCCCCACGCCCTGCCCGGCTCTGCAGTGTGTGCTAAGCCGCACTTTAGCCAATTACCTGCGGTGATTAGTGCCCTGGCAAGCACAGCAATCCTAATCTCAGGTGCCACGTGACCCCGCTCCTTACCCGGCTAAATGAGTGCAGGGCCGGGCCCATCAGGTCACGGAGCCGCCCAGCTGCTGCTCCCTTCCCGTTATCCTCGGGGGAATCTCCAGCAGTGCAACGGCACATAACAGTGGGACGCAGAGGAACCAAAAGCCTCTGGGGCTGAGGAGAACTGGAAGGAGCCATAGCTCTGCTGCCCAGTGGAGGGGAGCAGAACACCTTGATCTAGCAGGACTGCGTTTGGTGACACTGCTGTTCTGGGTCTAACGGGGCTGTGACACATTCGTAGCCGTGTGCCGCATCCCATCTTCTCCCTGCTACCCTGGCCCAGGCTGGGCAGCACGAGTGAGGTGTGGGCAGCCAGCAGCAGAGGCAGCAGGAGGCCAGGCACAGCCAGGGCTCTTCTCCACTCCTCTGTTCCCTGCCAAGAAGACCGAGTGACACATCCACCCCTGCTGCACCAGCTGCCGCTTCCCAGCGAGGGGCTGTGGAGCCCGGGCCCCATGCAGAGCGACGGCACTGCTCCAGAGCTCACAGTGAGGGAGGGGATGGACAGCAGGGTGCTGGGAAGGGTCACTGCCTGCAGCGGGAAGGAACGGGCCCAGCACCCCCCTTCAGCATCTTCCCAGCTCACAAAAACTTTCTGCTCCCAACTCAGGGAAGAAGCAGGGAGCAGCTCCTCCAGGAGGACACGGGGACACTGCCCTCCCTGCTGCGTCCCCACACAGCTGCGCTCCCATCGCTGCATGGGGCCAACCGATTCAGCACGGCCAGCCCCGGGCTCCCAGCACGGACACTGACTCTACTTTCAGATTCACTACTCCAACCTTTTCTGGAAATCCCATAGAATAACAGAGCCCGCAACTCTTCCCACAAATGCTTCCACGTAGTCATCAGGCAGGGTCTGCCTGCAGCCCACAATTAATGGGTGCCCTCTGACTGAACTGCAGCCAGGGGGGCCAGGCTGGCTGTGACATACAGAGCCCCAGAACAGCCTCAGCATCCTCAGGGGATTTGGGGCCAGGCAGCTGCTCCCCAGAACCTGACCACAGAGACACAGACACGGTGATGCACACGGACCGGGATGGGGTTTGGAGAGGCAGCAGCTCCCCATGAGCCTGGACAAAACCTGAGCAATGGTCCCTGCTGCTAAATGGCAGAGGATGCGCTCCGTTCCCCTTTCCTGCCTGTGGACATAAGAGCCTCCCTGGGGACACAGGCAGGATCACCATCTCCAAACACAGAATAGCAGAGGAGTGCAAACAGCAAATGCCTGTGTGTTCTTTCAGCAGCGTGCCCACCCACCATCCCCACCAGATTCACCCAAACGAAGGCCTCAGCCCATGTGGTGCCTGGGGCTCAGCCTGAGGATCTCAGGGCTGCAGGATCCAGCACTGCACAGAGATCGGAACCTGCAGCCCTCCAGCATCGGGGAAATACCAGGCCTGCAGGGACCCAGAGCCATGTGGCAGACCAGGAGGGGCTGGGGGTGCCGTCCCAGGCTGACCTCCTCCATCAGCAGTGCCCTCTCCAGCGCTGGCTCGCCGCCACCTGACCTTCACCAAAGGCCAAACCCTGTGGTGACGCACAGCAGCACCGGGGCTGCGTGCAGCAAAGAGGCAAAGAGAGGTGAAGCAGCCACATGCACTCCCGCTCATCCCTGTGGGGAGCAGAGAGAGCGGGGGCTTCAGAAGGGACTGGGGACCTCATGAGGTCCCCTGGGAAAACCATGAGCGCACAGCCCTTGAGGTGCCACGTAGCCTGGGGAGGCATCTTCACCATCCTGGTAACGGGCAGCAGTGTGCAGGAGGTCCCCAAAGCCTGGGTTGCTGGGGCAGGAGGGCAGGCAGCACGGAGCAGCCCCCACACAAGGTATTAATAGGACCGGAGCTCTGCCGGCTTAAAATAGGCTGCCAGGAGCGGGGAGGCGGTCCCGGGCGGACACGACCTATTGTGTCAGTGAGCAACGCCGACGTAAGCACAATTAGGGGGGCTGCTTTAGAAAAATCACACACGTGACCCACTGCCCTTTGGGAGCTCAGGGAACCCCCTTGGCCCAGAGCCCCCCGTGTCCCTGTCCAGCTGCAGCTCAGCTCTTGCAGAGGTGGCAGGAACTGGGCCTGAGGCTCAACGTTTTTGCAGGAGGGAGCTCAGAGGATGCTCAAGGGCCAGGAGCAGCCAGACCCATGGGTGCCCTCCTGCAGGCTGGGGAGATGCTGACATGCAGTGCCAGCACTGGGGCAGCACGGTCACGCAGGGGACTCACGAGCAGGGGATGGCCTGTGCAATTCCCGGAGGCACAGAGCAGGGGCCTGGCCCGGGAAGCGCACAAAGCCTGAGCCGGGTTTGCCCTTGGGGGACCCCGGCGGCAGGTAGAGCGAGGGACCCGGTGCCAGCGCTGATGGCAGCGATGCCCGGGTCCGGCCGTGCACCGGGAGGGAGGTCTCAGCTCCCCGCCGCCGCTCTGCCACCACCCGGAGGCACGGCGGACCCCGGTCCGGGGGTTCTCGGGGGACAGCAGAGGCGGCAGCAACCGGCGCACAACCGCTCCGATCGGCTGGGCTCGGCCCACCGAGGCGCTCCTCAGTACCGAGTCCCGCGCAGGTGCCGCCCGGAGCCCGGGGAGGGGGCGAACGACGACGGCGGCTCCCCCGGGGGGGAGGGAACCGCGAGGAAGCGGGGGGTCGGGCCGGAGCACGGGCTCTCACCTTCATGATGCTCGCACGGGGCGCGGCGGGCGCGGGGCTCCGCTCCGCCGAGTCCTCGCGGCTGCTGCTCCCCGAGCCCGAACCGGGGCTGCCGCCA